ATCCCATCCCATCCCATCCCAACACATCCCATCCCATCCCATCCAAACACATCCCATCCCATCCCATCCCATCCCATCCCATCCCAGCACATCCCATCCCATCCCATCCCAACACATCCCATCCCATCCCATCCCAACACATCCCATCCCATCCCATCCCAGCACATCCCATCCCAGCACATCCCATCCCATCCCATCCCACCCCATCCCAACACATCCCATCCCAGCACATCCCATCCCATCCCACCCCATCCCAACACATCCCATCCCAGCACATCCCATCCCATCCCAGCACATCCCATCCCATCCCATCCCAAAACATCCCATCCCATCCCATCCCATCCCAACACATCCCATCCCATCCCATCCCAACACATCCCACCCCATCCCATCCCAACACATTCCATCCCAACACATTTCATCCAATCCCAGCACATCCCATCCCAACACATCCCATCCCACCCCATCCCAACACATCCCATCCCATCCCATCCCGGCCATGAGGGCATCCCGAAATGCTATAAGACTCAGATTTCCCTAAAAATCTGGAAAAAATCCTAAAGCACCAACAAACCCCACGGCAAACGCCAACAAAACCCACGGCAAGCACAACCCCAGCCATTAGTGGGGAAGAACTCCAGGATCAATGTGAAACCCAGACCCACAGATTTCCCTAAAAATCTCAAAAAAATCCTAAAACACCAACAAAACCCACGGCAAACACAACCCCAGCCATCCACAGGGAAGAATTCCCAGATCCATGTGAAACCCAGACCCACAGATTTCCCTAAAAACCTTCAAAAAATCCTAAAGCACCAACAAACCCCATGGCAAACACCAACAAAACCCACGGCAAGCACAACCCCAGCCATCCATGGGACAGAATTCCTGGATCCATGTGAAACCCAAACCCACAGATTTCCCTAAAAATCTCAAAAAAATCCTAAAACACCAACAAAATCCACGGCAAACACAACCCCAGCCATTCCAAGATCCATGTGAAACCCAAACCCACAGATTTCCACCAGGAACAACCACGGACCATTTTGCCATTGGAGATGGAAGATCCAAGCATGGAGACGGAAGATCCAAGCATGGAAAACGGTCAATGAACTGGGAAATAATCAGGAAAAAGCTGAAAATTGGATGGAATTTGGGAAATTCCTCTCCTGAACGTGGATCCCAACCCCCTGGGAGGTGGCACTGGAGGGGAAGGTGCTTCCAGGAGCATCCTGAGTGGGGTAAATCCATCCTGAGTGGGGTAAATCCATCCTGAGTGGGGTAAATCCATCCTGAGTGGGGTACATCCATCCTGCCAGGCAGGAATTGCTGCTCTCCATGAGAAACAGCCCCGAGGGCAGCCCGGCAGCCGCCCTGCTCGGGGGGAGATGGAAAAGGGATGGGGGCAGCGCCAGGAACGGTGCCAGGGGAAGGTGGCACCCAGATCCCAAAGGATCAGAGCATGGAACCACCATGGAGACCTTGGATGGATCCCAAGAGGCTCCAACACCACCGAGGTGACAAATCCCAGCCCAATCCTGGATTTCCAGCAGGGATTCCCTATGGAAACTCCATTGCACCCCAACAGCAACCTCAGCATGAGCATCCTTGAGCTCTGCTCCCCCAAATCTGAGCTCTGCCCCCCAAAATCCCTGAGCTCTGCCCCCTAAATCCCAAATCCTGGCACGTGCTCCAAGCAGAGAGGGAAGATGGATGGAGGCAGTGCCAGCCTCGTGACCAGGAAAGGTGCCAGGGGAGGGTGGCACTGAGATCCCAAAGGATCAGAGCATGGAACCACCATGGAAACCTTGGATGGATCCAACCCCACCAAATGCCAGCCCAACCCTGCATTCCCAGCAGGGATTCCCTATGGAAACTCCATTGCACCCAAAAAGGAATTGCAGCATCCTGGATGTCCCAAATCCTGGGAGATGGATGGAGGCAGTGCCAGGAACGGTGCCAGGGGAAGGTGGCGCTGAGATCCCAAAGGATCAGAGCATGGAACCACCATGGAAAACTTGGATGGATCCAACCCCACCAAATGCCAGCCCAACCCTGCATTCCCAGCAGCCATTCCCTATGGAAACTCCATTGCACCCCAACAGCAACCTCAGCATCCTGGATGTCCCAGATCCTGGGAGATGGATGGAGCAGTGCCAGGAATGGTGCCAGGAGAAGGCGGCACTGAGATCCCAAAGGATCAGAGCATGGAACCACCCCAGATGGATCCCAGCAGCTCCAGCCCCACCAAATGCCAGCCCAACCCTGCATTCCCAGCAGCCATTCCCTATGGAAACTCCATTGCACCCCAACAGCAACCTCAGCATCCTGGATGTCCCAGATCCTGGGAGATGGATGGAGCAGTGCCAGGAATGGTGCCAGGAGAAGGCGGCACTGAGATCCCAAAGGATCAGAGCATGGAACCACCCCAGATGGATCCCAGCAGCTCCAGCCCCACCAAATCCCAGCCCAACCCTGCATTCCCAGCAGGGATTCCCTACGGAAGCTCCACTGCACCCCAACACCACACGGATTTTTGGGGGATGTCCCAGATCCTGGCACGTGCCAGGGTCTCTCAGAGTGGGCACCCCCCAGTCCTTAAAACGGCAGAAATTCCCCCAAACCCGCGGCTGCCTGCTCAGCCCCAGCCCCCAGCCGGGAGCAGCGAGGAACAGGAGTCAAATCCTCCCACACTCCTGCCAGGAGGAGCTGCTCCCATTGCCGAGCTCCCCCTTCCTCCTCCTCCTCCTCCTCCTCCTCCCGCCCGGCAGCGGCCGAGGAAGCTCCAAAAGAAAAAAAAAAAATCAAATGGATGTTAAAATTAAAAAATAAAATAAAATTAATCAATCAGAAACGCTCGGGAAAAGCCAATGGATGCCGACTCTTCCTCCCTGCTCCCAGATTCCCAAATCTCCTCCTCCTCCTCAGTTCCCGGCAAGCCACCCCCTCCCCCCCGCCATCACAGATCCCTCTCCAGCTCCAAAGCGCCCAAAAACGCCTCGATTTGGGGAATCTGGGCAGGGAGGAACCCCCAATCCCTGGGACGAGAAACCCTCAATCCCTGGGAGGAGAAACCCTCAATCCCTGTGAGGAGAAAACCCCAATCCCTGGGAGGGGAGACCCTCAATGCTGGGAGGAGAGACCCCCAATCCCTGTGAGGAGAGAACCCCAAACCCAGGGAGGAGAGACCCTCAATCCCTGGCAGGAGGAACCCTCAATCCCTGGGAGGGGAGACCCCCAATCCCTGCAGGAGAGACCCCCAATCCCTGGGAGGGGAGACCCCCAATCCCAGGGAGGAGGGACCCTCAATCCCTGGCAGGAGGAACCCTCTGGATCCGTGCTGGGAGCGGACCCAGCTGCCCAGGATGGGTGAGGAGGGGTCCGCGCCCCCTCCCAGCCCGGGCGGGGATGGCGAAGTTTCCCCGGTGCGCCGGGAAATGAGGAGGGGGGCGGCAGGAAAAGAGGGAGAATCCCGCGGGGAGGAAATCCGGGATGCGGCCGGGAAACGGCGCGGGAAGGAACCGGGAACCGGGAGCGGCCCCGGAGCCCGCACGGAACAAAGCGGGGCTCGAGGGGGCGATCCGGGGGGTTCCGGGATCCGCACCCCTCAATCCCATCGGGAACAGCCCCGGATTGCCCGGGGGATTGCCCGGAGCGCCCCCAAACCGCCCGGGATGAGCCCCAAAATCCCTGAGCTCTGCACGCCAAAATCTCTGAGAGCTGCTCCCCAAAATCCCTGAGCACTGCACGCCAAAATCCCTCAGCTCTGCTCCCCAAAATCCCTGAGCTCTGATCCCCAAAATCTCTGTGCTCTGCTCCCCAAAATCCCTGAGTGCTGGTCCCCAAAATCCCTGAGCACTGCACGCCAAAATCCCTGAGCTCTGCATGCCAAAAATCCCTGAGAGCTGCTCCCGAAATCTGAGCTTTGCTCCCCAAAATCCCTCGGCTCTGCTCCCCAAAATCCCTGAGCTCTGCATGCCAAAAATCCCTGAGAGCTGCTCCCCAAAATCCCTCAGCTCTGCTCCCCAAATCCCTGAGCGCTGCCCCCCAAAATCCCTGAAAGCTGCCCCCCAAAATCTCTGAGCATTACCCCCAAATCTGAGCTCTGCTCCCCAAAATCCCTGAACATTGCCCCCAAAATCTCTGAGGTCTGCTCCCCAAAATCCTTGAGCTGTGCTCCCCAAATCTGAGCTTTGCTCCCCAAAATCCTTGAGCATTACACCCAAAATCCCTCAGCTCTGCACCCTCAAACCCCCTGAGAGCTGCCCCCAAAAATCCCTGAGCTCTGCTCCCCAAAATTCCTGAGCTCTGCCCCCCCAAATCCATCTGCTTTGCGCCCCTAAAAATCTCTCGGGCTCTGCCCCCACCAACCCGTCAGGCTGCGCCCCAAATCTGAGCTCTGCGCCCCCACAAATCCCTGAGCTCTGCACTCCCAAATCTCTGAGATCTGCTCCCCAAAATCCGAGCTACTGTCCCCCCAAGATCTGTGTGCTTTGTGACCCCAATTCTTCCGGCTCTGCTCCCCAAAATCCCTCAGCTCTGCTCCCCAAAATCCCTCGGCTCTGGCCCCCAAATCCCTGGGCTCTGCTCCCCAAAACCCCTGAGTGCTGTTCCCCAAATCTCTCAGCTCTGGTCGCCCAAAATCCCTGGGCTCTGCTCCCCCACATCAGAGCTCTGCTCCAAATCCGAACTCTTCTTCCCAAATCCGAGCTCTGCCCCCCAAATCCGAGCTCCGCCGCCGCCCAACCCCTCGGGCTCTGCCCCCCAAACCCGAGCCCCGCGCCCCCAAGGCCCAGCCCAGCCCGCCCGCAGCCGCTCGGGCTCTGCCTGCAGCCCTCAGCCCCCAAAATCCGCCTGAGCCCCACGAAATTCGCTCTCAGCCCCCCCAAAATCCGCCTGACCCCCCAAAATCCCCCTCAGCCCCGGTTCTCGCCCCCCCCCCCAGCCAGGCCCTGCCCCGCCCCCGCCGGGCCCGGCCCCGCCGCCCCCACGGGCCTCACCTGGCTCGGGGGTCGCGGGGGGTCTCGGCGGGCTCCCGGCGGTTCCCGGTGGGTTCCGGACGGTTCCCGGTGGCTCCCGGCGGATCCCGGCGGGTCCCGGGCGGTCCCGGGGGTCCCGGGCCGGGCGGGCGGAGCAGACGCGGCCGCCGCCGAGCGCAACCGGCACCACCACAAACAATGCCGCTGATTGGCCGCCGCCGCCGCCGCGCCCGCCCCGCCTCCCGACCCCAGCCGCGACGCCCATTGGTGCGGCGTGCAGACTGGCACGAGATCCCACCAATGGAATCGCTGCGATCCTCTCTTATCCCGCCTGCCAGCTTTCACTGGATGTCTCAGCAATGATTGACGTCGCTCTGCACCAATAGGAACGCGCCGAGCTTCCCCGCGGGGCGCCTTTAATGGGTCCCCGAGCCTGAACATCCGGGTACTGCCGGCGGCGCGCGGTGGCGGCGCGCGACTTCTCCCCCGGCGCGCCGGGGAGTTTTGTCCCCTCCCAGCCGCCGTACCGGCCCCGGGCCCAGCACCAGCCCGGTTCCGCCGCACGTGGCGCCGCTACGAGGCCGCGGTGACTCCGAGGAGGAGATCCCGGTTCTGGGGACAGCGGGCAGAGCCCCCCAATGCCTGGCGGGGCCGCAGCGCGCGGGGCTCGGCGGCCGCGAGGCCTCATGGTCCGTGCCCGGATCCAAGATGGCGGCCTGAGGGCAGCGCCAGGGTCCAAGATGGCGGAGCCGGCCTCACTCCCCTCAGGGGGGCTCCGCACCCTCAAACCCCCCCCGGTAAATAAAAATGATCCCGGAGCCAGCGAGGAAAATACCGCAGCAGCTTTTATTTACAGGCCCCTGGGGCGGGGGCTGCTATTGCACAGTGCGAGGGGAGGGGGCGGCCCCGAACCCCCCCCAATGGCCACCGAACCCCCCAATGGCCCCAAATCCCCCGGGGGGCACAAACCCAGAGCCCCCCCCAGCTGCCCTGGCACCCCCGAACCCCCCGGGACAGAAATGAGGATGGGGAACCTCCCCAGAGCTGCCCCTGCCCGTCCCACCCGCGCTCTCACTTTGGGGGAGGCTGAATAAATAAATAAAAATATATTAATACTGACATAGAAAACCCGTCGTGAGCCTGGGGGGGCGGGGGTCCTTTCGCCCCACCCTGGAGCATTTGAGGGGAGTCCTGGGGGTCCTTTCCCCACCCTGGAGCAGTTGAGGGCGGCCTGGGGGGTCCCTTCTGCCTCTTGGAGCATTTTAGGGGGGTCCTGGGGGTCCTTTGTCCCTCCTGGAGTATTTGAGGGGAGTCCTGGGGGTCCCTTCCCCATGCTGGAGTATTTGAGGGGGGCTTGGGGGTCTTTTTCCCCCACCCTAGAGCATTTAAGGGGGGGGTCCTGAGGGTCCTTCTTCCACCCTGGAGTATTTGAGGGAAGTCCTGGGGGTCCCTTGTCCCTCCTGGAGTATTTGAGGGGGGTCCTGAGGGTCTCTTCTGCCTCCTAGAGCATTTAAGGGGGGTCCCTTGTCCTTCCTGGAGTATTTGAGGGGGGTCCTGGAGCATTTGAGGGGGGTCCTGAGGGTCCCATCCCCACCCTGGAGTATTTGAGGGGTTCCGGAGGGGTCCCATCCCCACCTCAGGCCCCCCCAACCCTCAAGGGGGGGTCCCTGCCCCACTTTGGGGGTGCCCTGGGGGGGTCGTTCCTATCTCATCCTGGGGGGTTCCCGGCGTTCCCTGTCCCGGTGCCCGGTCCGGGGGTGGTTCTGGGGGGTCCCTGTCCCGGTGTCAGACCCGGGGGGGTTCTGGGGCTCCCGTGTCCCGGTGCCCGGTCCGGGGGGGGATTCCCGGTCCCGGTGTCCCTCAGCACTCGGGGGGGTTCTCGGGTTCCCGGGGTCCCTCAGCACTCGGGGGGGTTCCCGGTGTCCCTCAGCACTCGGGGGGCGCCCCGAAGCACCGGCGGCACTCGGGGGGGTTCCCCGGTCCCTGTCCCGGTCCCGGGGGTCCCTCAGCACTCGTGGGGGGGGGGGTTCCCGGGGTTCCCCTGTCCCTGTCCCGGGGTCCCTCAGCACTCGGGGGGGTTCCCGGGGTCCCTCAGCACTCGGGGGGGGTTCCCGGTCCCTGTCCCGGTCCCGGGGGTCCCTCAGCACTCGTGGGGGGGGGGGTTCCCGGGGTTCCCCTGTCCCTGTCCCGGGGTCCCTCAGCACTCGGGGGGGTTCCCGGGGTCCCTCAGCACTCGGGGGGGGTTCCCGGTCCCTGTCCCGGTCCCGGGGGTCCCTCAGCACTCGGGGGGCGCCCCGAAGCACCGGCGGCACTCGGGGGGGTTCCCGGGGGTCCCTCAGCACTCGGGGGGCGCCCCGAAGCACCGGCGGCACTCGCTCGCTCGCGCGCTCGGGGGCTGCGCCCGCCGCCGCCGCAGCTCGTCCCGGCCCGGGGCCCCGCCCAGCTTGGCCAGCGCCGAGCGGTACCGGCGGTCAAAGGCGGCTGGGGGGGGGGAACGGGGAGGGGTCAGAACGGACACCCCGGGACCCCCGGTGTGCCCCCTGAACACGCCCTGAGCCCCCCCAGACCCACCGTGTGCCCCCTGAGACCCCCAGTGTCCCCCTCTGAGCCCCCTACACCCATCGTGTCCCTCTGTGCCACCCCCCCATCCTTCTCATTGCCCTAAACCAACTCTGTACCCCCCAAACACACCCTGAGCCCCCCCCGCTCCCTCTGAGCCCCCTGGACACCCCTGGTTGCCCCCTGTGCCCTCCCCGTGCCACCCAGAGCCCCTCCATGTTGCTCCAAGCTCCCTGAACACCCATGGTTCCCCCCAGACCCACTGTGTCCCTCTGAGCCCCCTCCCTCTGTCCCCTCCAATGTCACCCAGGTCTCCCCTGAACCCCTCTGAGCCCCCCTGAGCCCCCACCACCCCCCAAGTGCCCCCTGAGCCCCCTCTGAGCCCCCTGAACACCCCTGGCTCCCCCTAGACCCACTGTGTCCCTCTGTGCCACTCCCTGTGTCTCACCCAAGCCCAAAATGTCACCCAGGTGCCCCCTGAGCCCCCCAGGTGCCCCCTGAGCCCCCTCATGCCCCCCGTACCGATGTCCGTGTGCTCCCGGCCCAGCGCCGCCAGCGTCAGGAACAGCAGCTCCCGGTAAATGCTCCTGCAGGGGGGACAGGGGGGATTGGGGGGATTTTGGGGGGATTTGGGGTGTGTCCGTACCTGTGCAGTGTCTGGGGGGCCCCGGGGGCCGCCAGGGTCTCCAGGATGGGGGGATTTTGGGGGATTTTGGGGTGTTTGGGCTATTTGGGGTGTGTCCCTACCTGTGCAGTGTCTGGGGGGCCCTGGGGGCCGCCAGGGTCTCCAGGATGGGGGGATTTTGGGGGGAATTTGGGGGGATTTTGGGGGATTTTGGGGTGTTTGGGGTATTTGGGGTGTGTCCCTACCTGTGCAGGGTCTGGGGGGCCCCGGGGGCCGCCAGGGTCTCCAGGAAGAGCCCGATGGCTTTGTGCACCTCGTTGAGCCCCACGTGGCTCAGCAGGGCCTCCAGGAAGGGCAGCGAGAACGGGGGGGCCGGGGGGCCCCAGGGGTGCAGCCGGGGGGGGATGCTACCTGGGGACCCCAAAACGTCACCCCGGTGTCCCCAAATCCCCTGGGATGTCACCTGGGGACCCCAAAGGGTGAGCCCAGAGTGACCCCAAGGTGTCCCCGATCCCCCTCTTTGCTCTTGGCCATTCCCCTCCTCCTTCCATCCCCACATCTCCCAACCCCCATTCCCGTATCCCGCATCCCCAATCCCACATCTCAATCCCGTATCCCCATTCCAACACCCCCAATCCCACATCCCTACTCCCATATCCCCATTCCCAATCCCACAGCCCCAAATCTCACAACCCCGTATCCCAAACCCATATCCCATATCCCACATCCCCAATCCCACATCCCAACCCCACGCCCCAATCCCATATCCCCGTACCCCAAATCCAATCCCCCAAGCCCAAATCCCACACCCCAATTCCACACCCCCAAATCTCATATCCCCGTACCCCCATTCCCATATCCCCAATCCCACACCCCAATCCCACCCCCGAAATCCCCCATTTCCATACCCAAATCCCATATCCCCATTCCCATATCCCAATCCCCCATCCCCTAATCCTCAATCCCACACCCCTAAATCTCATAACCCCCAAATCCCAATCCCATTTTCCCCACCCCATATCCCAAATCCCACACCCCAATCCCATACCCCCAGTCCCATACCCCAAATCCCCAATCCCATACCCCATTCCCACACCCCAATCCCATATTCCATTTCCCAATCCCCCACTCCCATATCCCCAATCCCATACCCCCAGTCCCACACCCCAACCCCACCCCCCAAATCCCCCATTCCCCACCCCAATCCCATATCCCCATTCCCATTTCTCCATCCCCAATCCCACACCCCAATCCCATGTCCCCAACCCCATATCCCCATACCCCCATTCCCATACCCCCATATCTCCAATCCCATATCTCCACACCCAAATCCCCCAAATCCCCAATCCCATATCCCCTTTCCCAATCCACTCCCCAATCCCATATCCCCAATTCCACACCCCAAATCCCCAATCCCACCCCCCAAATCCCCAATTCCACACCCCAAATCCCCAATCCCCCAATCCCAATCCCACCCCCCAAATCCCCAATTCCACACCCCAAATCCCCAATCCCCCAATCCAAATCCCACCCCCCAAATCCCCAATCCCACACCCCCATCCCACACCCCAAATCCCCAATACCCCAATACCCCAATCCCCCAAATCCCCAATGCCCCAATCCCAATCCCATACCCCAAATCCCCAATCCCCCAATCCCCCAAATCCCCAATCCCCAATCCCACCCCCCAAATCCCCAATCCCCCAATCCCCCAAATCCCCAATGCCCCAATCCCAATCCCACACCCCATATCCCCAATCCCCCAATCCCCCAAATCCCCAATCCCCAATCCCAATCCCACACCCCATACCCCCAATCCCATACCCCAATACCCCAATACCCCAATCCCAATCCCACACCCCAAATCCCCAATCCCATCCCCCAAATCCCCAATGCCCCAATCCCAATCCCACACCCCATACCCCCAATCCCACCCCCCAAATCCCCAAATCCCCAATCCCACACCCCAAATCCCCAA